TAAACCAGACTGAGAAGTGGAAACGTGCAAGTGCCCAGGCCAGTGGAGAAATGACTGAGTATTAAAGCACAAGTGAGAAATGGCTCGGCTAGCACAGTGAGGGTGCAGGGGAGAAGGTGGTGGGCGAGGAGGACAAGTGAGGTTCATTAAATGAGTGTGTGCAGGCAATGAGAAAATGTGATTGTCAGAGGACTGCTTCAAGAAGGTAATATTGGCATGGTGGTGCATGCCCTTGATCCCAGAACTTTGCAAGCAAAGGTAGGCAGATCTATGTGATTTCAAGGCCAACCTGGTCTACATAGTGAGCTCCAAGCCAGCCAGAATTATACAATGAGACTGTTTCAAAATTAAAAAAAAAAAAAAAAATGAAAGAAAGACAGAAAGAAAAGAAAAAAAGTAATGTAGCGTCAATGTGCAGGTAAAATGGGGCTGGAGAGGTTGGGAAAGGGAAATTAGGAGTTTATGAATAAGTTTGTGTGTGAGCAAAGCAGTGGGAACAGGAAACGAGAACAGATCCAATTTAGGAGATGAAAACTGATGTGGCCGGGGGCGACTCAAGCGTAAAGGACACCGTGGCTGGAAGTGGTTGAGGTTTCCAGCCTGGGTGACTTAGACAATGGTGGGGCTGCTATTAACAGAAAGACAGACGTTGACTGCAGGAGACACATCGGTGTGGAAAGGAAAGGGCACAGAGAGTTGCACTGGGAACTCAGTAGTTCCCAGATTTGAAAAGAATAAATAAACTGTAAAAATACAAAACCAAAGATGGAGGAAAAGTTTAGCAGACTCAGGGCTGGGGAGGTAGATCAGCAATTAAGAGCTCTTCATGCTCTTCAGAGAACCCCAGTGTGGTTCCAGTACTCAGGTTGGACAGATCACAACTGCCAGGAGCGCCAGTTCCAGCCTCTGTGGCATGCACTCACATAGATATACACACATACACACTAATACAAATAAAAACATATTTTAAAAGGTTTGGGAAACTAGTGAAAAGAGGGTTAGGGAGGTTCAAGCTAAATAGTAAGTCTCGTCACATAGTAAGAATAAAAATATTCCTTGTTGAATGAATGACTTGAAGCTCGTGAGAAATTCTTCTATCACACTGCCATTGAGGATTTGTGCTACTCAGGGAAGGTGCCATTCAAAAAGCAGGATGAAGAGCTTTTCGAAACTAATTTACCCCCTCAACTGAGTAGGAGAGTAGTATTCAATGCAGTGCTGGAACGAACAGGGCCAAGAAAACAAGTTCCCTGTGGCCCACATAGTGAAAGGAGAAAACTGACTCCTGCAAGCTGCTCTCTAACTCCCATGCATGTTATGGTATCTAAACCTACTTCACAAACAAACAAACAAACAAACAAACAAACAAATGTAAACGATGAACAAGGAGCAATTATGAATGCCTAGATACAGAGTGAATTCTAGCCCTGTGAAATACAGAAGCCTTCAGCGTGAGTGGAGGGCACAAAGAGCACCATGTTCAAAGGTCCGTCAGAGAGGAAGAGGTTTATTTCACCTTACAGCTGACTGCTAGTCATCAGTTCTGAGGCAGGAACTCCAGGCGGAAATTGGAGGCAGGAACTGAAGCAGAGAGCGCACAGAAGAAGCTCTCTATGGCTTGCTCAGCCTACTTTTTTTTTTTTTTTTTTTTTTAATAAAACCCAGGACTACCTGCTCAGGGGAGGCACTACCCATAATGGGGTGAGCCCTCCCACATCAACCATTAATAAAAAAAAGCCCTACAGTTTTGCCTACCAACAAATCTTAAGGAAGCATTTTCTCAGTTGAGGTCTCCTCTTCCCAGATAACTTTAGCTTGTATCAAGTTGACAAAAAGCCAACTAGAATGCCTATTTATCCATTTTGGACATTAAGCTGTTGCTAGTTTTCTACCACTGTAAATAACCCTGAGACAAACAACTTGTATGTGTATATCCTTACCTCATTTTCTCAGGCTATAATCTTGCCTAAAGTGTTGAATTGTAAATTTTAATGAAAATGTGTTAAAATGCTAATGTCTAAAATATCACATACTAGCTAGGTGTAAATCCCAGTACTCAGCAGGCAGAGGCAAACATATTTCAGTGAGTTCAAGGCCAGCGTTATCTACATAGTGAATTCTAGAACATCCAGAACTTGTCTCACAAAACAAAACAAACAACAAAAAATCCTGTACTGTAATCACGGAACCAGGTATGGCAATACCTGCCTATAATCCTATGCTTAGAAAGCATAAAGCTTATCACCAGCTACATAGCAAGTATAAGGTTAACCTGGGTCATATGAGACTCTGTCTTTTAAAAAAAAGTATGGCATTGAAAACAGGATCTGTAGGCTGAGGACTGTAATTCTAGCTAATTCAGGGAGGCTGGAACAGGAAGGTCTTGAATTCAAGCTTTGTCTGGGCTGTAGGTTAAGTTCAAGTCCCTGGGTAACCTAGGTGAGACCTGTATTCAAACAAAACCAAAAAATAAAAGGAAGTCTGGGGATATAGAACAGGTGAAGGGTGTTTGCCAGCAAGTGTGAGATCCTGGGTCCAGCATGTCCAAAAGAAAAGAAAAAGGACTGAAGGCTCTGGGGAGAAATACCTGCTAACTGATGGGTTATCTCAGAGACTCTGAGGAAGTGGAGAACATAGGAAACTGAGCTGCTGGGCACTTGCAGAACTGATTGATCTGTTGTCTCTGTTCTGCAAAGACAGGAGGTGGACGGCCTTCAGACCAGAAACAGGAACCCAGTGGGTGGACCCCAAAAGAAACAGGAAAAGAAGTTTGCTTCTGATAGTGAAAGACACAACGCTGTGCTGCCCTTTCCCTCGTGTCCACCGAGAGTCACTGTCGCTCATGTCCACTCAGGTCAGGCCTTTGATTTTTAAAAGTTGTGTTTTATTTTTAATTATATGTGCGTGGGTTGGTGCATATGAGTGCAGGTAACCTGCACAGAACAGAGTTGTTGGGTCTCCCTGAAGCTGGAGTTACAGGAGGTTGTGAGCAGCCCAGGTGGGTGCTGGGAGCTGAACTCAAGTCCTATGGAAATAGAGCATCTTATGTTCTGTGCCGTCTCTCCAGCACCACGTCAAGTGCTTATTCACTATCTCGTCTTTGGGTTCTCTTTTCGTTATTTTATTTTGATTTAAGCCAGACATTAATTTTTCTTAGGTCTTTGAGACAGGGTCTCACTCTATAGCTCTGGCTAGCCTTGCATGTATGATGTAGGTCAGGCTAGTCATAAACTCAGAGACCCACCTGCCTCTGTTTTACAAGGGCTGGGGTTAAAGGCAAGTACCACCACATCTGGCTTCTATCCTTTCCTTTAAAAAACTTTATGTGTGTGCATTGGGCCTGAATGTATGTGTGTGTGCACGCCATGTGTGTGTTAGTGGAGGCCAGCAAAAGGCATCACATCCCCTGGGCCTGGACCCCGGGGCGTGCGAGCCCTCTGAGGTGGGCTCTGAGAACTGAAGCTGGGTCCTCTGCAAGCACAATAAGCTCACTAACTGCAGAGTCATCTCTCCAGCCCCTCAATAGTTTTTTCTCTATTTTAAAAATAATTTATTGTCAGTCTCTGTACATAGTGTGGGTGTGTGCCACAGCACACGTGTGGGGTCAGAGGGTAACTGTGTGGAGGTGGTTCTCTCCTACCTTTGTCTGCTGAGTCGTCTGGCCAAGCCACATCAGTTTTGTGTGCATGTGTGTGTGTGTGTGTGTGTGTATGTGTGTGTATGTATGTATGTGTGTGTGTGCGTGTATTTTGCTTCTGTTTCAAAAACTGACACCTTGATGTTCAATTCAGAAGCCAAGCAGTACTGGATATTTCATCTACCTGACTCCCCATATCCAATTCTTCTTAGTTCTAACTGAGTTCTAATTGATTATACATGCCTACAATATTTCTCTGTTGCATTTTTCCAGCTGTGACTTACTTGATACTCTTAATCTTAGCTATATTTCTATATCTCTATGTAGGTATGTATGTATGTATCGTCTGTCTGTCTGTCTCTTCCACTGCAGGCTAAGTTTCTTAAGGAAACAGATCTATCCATTTTGTCATCACTGAATGTGTGTGTAGGGTTTAACACAGTGTCTGGCATGGGTCGGGGCCAGACTGATCTTTAAATGACCTGTGATAACCAGGGTAGTGTTAAAAAGCTGTGGGACTTTAAGACATTTATTGTTATGCTATGTGTGTGTATGTACAATGTGTGTGTGTGTGTGAATGTGGGCACAAGCATGCCACAAGTGTATGAGTAGGGGCCAGAGGAGCATTTCCATTCTCCATGGTGGATCCCAAGGCTTGAACTCAGTTCATCAGGCTTATGCGGCAAGCACTTTTACCACAGAAGTCCAGGCGGGAAGCATCATTAAAGCACATTACCGTTAAAGCTTATAAAATAAGGGGTTATGGCTGATTTCAGGACGCACTGTGTGTTCAAGCTGAGCAGCCTCACATTGCGTCTTCATCCCTGCTTGTAACTGTTACCCCAAAACCGACTTTTACCTGGCACTTTGAGATATGATCTGAGGTTCTAGATTTCCTAGCTATGGAATGAAGAAGAACAGCGCCTGGGCCAGTGAAATGGCGTGCTTGGTAAAGCTGTTTGCTGCCAAACCTGACAACCGGAGCTCAGTCTCCAGGACCCGCGTGGCCGAGTGACAGAAATGACTCCCAGAGTTGTCCTCTGATCACTACACTTGTGCCACGGCATTTGTGCAGCACGCTCAACACATACCCAGAAAACAAGGAGATCAAATCTATAAGACGGCATTTGTATGGAGTGGGGAGGTTCTTCTGTGCTTGATCAGCTGGTCGGGCTGTTCCAGGCTGATGCCCGGAAAGCCATCTGATAGAGTGTGTAATGTCTCCTTTGGGCTCATCTAACAAAGGAGATGTTAGATTTGCTATACATTTCAGAGTATTTCCAGTGTTTCATCCTTCCCAGGTTGATACAAATCTGGGATTAGGGCCGAGCCAGTGGCTCTTTCTCTAATAGAGGGCACTCACCAGCAAGCAGTGACACAGGGCATGAAAATGCTGCTGGTTTGTCTCCAACTCATCCCAGTCCAGCTGCCAGCAGCTTGTGGGTCTGAGGATGAAGGGGAGTCCATAGGTCAAGGACTCACAGATCCCACTGGAGGTTAGAGCCCTGGAAAAAGAAAGACTTCTTAGTGGCATCTGGCACCTCTAACCACACCCATCTAAACTGAGCTCTGACCTACAACCTTATTGTGGAAGCTTGTGTCTCAGGGTGTGTCGTCAGTCAGTATTGAGCATGGAATCCAGCACAGTGAAAGTTCTCGGAGTTTCTCACAGTCAGTCTTTGCATGAGGCCCACAGTAAGAACAGGAAGCAGCAAAGCCAGGCCCTCCCACCATGGCTCTGCTGGACCCCCTGAGGCAGCAATCCTGATGCCTAGGGCAGCCGCAGCGGTTGGCGCTGGCTCTTGACCCCCCCCTTGAAAGGCCCATCCCTGTACTAATCCTAACAGGCTTTTGATAAACGTCCGTTGGATGGCTGAGCACCGTTGCATCAGCTTGGCTCGTCTCTGCAGTCAGAGTCCGTATCTCTAGGTCTTCCGCAGTCCGTATCTGCGCCGATGGCTTCTGCTTGCTGAGGCGCTCAGCCTTACTTTATTTTATTTCTATTTTTTATGGCAAGCTTGTGACTGCTACCTGGCTACTGACTATTGCCTGACTGCAGAGATATAATCTAAGTCTCTGTGCTTTCAGGTCCTAGAGTCATCAAGAGCAGCTCAGAATGGTGAGGCTTCCTCAAAGCATACTTGATCACTTGTAGCTTGTACGGAGATGATGACAGGGAAGCCATCTGGTAGAGTGTGCTGATGTCTCCTTTGGGGTCATCCATTCTCAATGAGCCATCGGCCGTGCCAGGAAGCAGGGATGGGCTGAGAAATCGCTCTTGGAGATCGCATTTCAGACATACTACAATTAAAGGAGAGTTAGAGAAGACACTGGGTTACAAGTTACCTCAGGCTGACAGTAACTGCTACTGGTTTACCTTCACTGCTCAGGCAGGGGTCAGGAGGAGGCAGGGGAAAGGGGGTAAGAGAGCATGCTTGGTTTGAGGGTAAAAAGGAACTGCCACCGGAGGTCTCGCTATTGCTCTGCATAGTTTGTTTTCTGAGCCTGGCATGGTTTTCACTTGCTTTACTGCTGGGCTGGCTGAGCTGTTGTCTCGCAGTGAGAGGCGTGGCTTGTCATTCAGTGCAAGAGGAACATGTGTCCTTGGTGGAGCAGCTAGTGGTAAACTATGCGGGGGCCCTTGGGTATTACAGAAGGAAATCGTGCCTCTGCTGCTTCCCTGCAGCTTTGGCAAGTGTGCTGGTCAGAGCAGGGAAAGCGGAAGTAAGACAGTCAGCTGACTGCTGTTCTTTTCCCTTGGGTTCTTCTAGGGGCGCTCTGGACTGTGGGAGGAACAAGTTCCTGAAATAGCTTATTTTTAAAAATTTATTGTTTTTTTATTACAATTTATTCACTTTGTATCCCAGCTGTAGCCCCCTCCCTCGTCTCCTCTCAGAAATAGCTTATTTTTAATGCCTGGAAGGACCCTGAGTATCGGGCTTTCAAAGGCCTTGGAGCACAGTGGCAGCATGACATGAGGAGTGCATAGATTATGTGGCACTTTGCTCTATCAGGCCTTTTTTTTTCTTTTTTTTTTTTTTTTGGACAGGATCTCTTGCAGCCCAGATTGACCTTTGACTTGCTATGTAGCTGAAGACAACCTTGAAGTCCTGCTCCTCTTGCCTCTATCTCATGAGTGCTGTGGTTTGAAGTGTGTATTACTACTCATGGCTTTGTCTTTCTGTTCCAGCAATTACCTTCAGGTACCAAGGGCCCAATGTTCTATTGCTCTGAGCCTGAAGCCTTGATGCTACAAGGTGTTAAAATGTATATCTGGTTTGAAGATCGACAGCAGAGTTGCAAGTATATGAACCCTGAATCGTTGTGAGGTGATGGTGATTTGGGGACTGACCAGTCTGCCACAGGGAGCTTGTTTCTGAGTTATTGTAGTTTTCCTCAACGTGATGCCTAGCTAGTGAGAGTTTTAAGAAGCTTATTTTTATTTGATGTGTGTTTTTTTGTCTGTCTGTCTCCATGTATGTACACTACATGAGTGCAGTGCCTGAAGGTGTCAGATTCCCTGGAACTAGAGCTACAGGAGACGGTGAGCTCCTCGTGAGTGCTGGGAACTGAGTTTAGGTCCTCCACAAGTACAGTAAGTACTCTTAGCCACCGAGCCACCTCTCAAGCTCCAGTGAAAAGATTTTTTTTTTTTTTGAGACAGGGATTCTCTGTGTAGCCTTAGCTCTGTAGAACAGGCTGGCCTTGAACTCACAGAGATCCATCTGCCTCTGCCTCCCTGAGTGCTGGGATTACAGGTGTGTGTCACTGTTCCTAGCTTCTAGTGAGACTATTTTTATTTCCTGTTATTCTCCTTGCCACAGGTTGTGTTGATATTATCAAAGCAAAAGAATCTTTTGAATTATAGTACCAACAATATCTACAATAGTAAGAGAGAGACTATTGAGAAAAATGCATAATTCACTTTACCCTTATATGGTGTAGCTGATGTCTTATCATTGAGGTGTTGAGAACTTTGCCTCTGTAACTACTTGGCCTTTGCTGGCTGGTATAGTCACTCTTTAAAACTTTTCTCTTTATACCTATGACATCACCAGACTGTGTCACCCAATCCTCACCTAATCCCTGGGCTTTACATTGTCTGTATTTTGAAGACTCACTGGAGTCATAGAGAGTTCTAGTCCTAGGCAAGGACACTCAGCCTACAGAACCTATCCTTTTAGGTTTGTGTACTTGGCTCATGCTAGGCAAGGACACTCAGCCTACAG